GAGGCACTTAGCTCCGTGCACTCCTCTCGTCCGCCCTCGCCGCAGGCGAGCTCATTCATTCCTCATTGACGACTGCTCCGCGTGTCACGCAGGCTGTGTGATATACGCTCGAGGTGATACGACATACGTGTTGCTTCTGCACTGCCCCAGCTCCGGCCGCCCCCCACCCCCAGGCCCCAGCCTGCAGCCCGAATTCTTGGTGGTCGCCACAACGCACAAGTCACCTCGTCGAGGCACTGGGCCTGCGGGTCAGCTTGTTCCCGTTCGTCGTCTCTGCAGTGTGCAGAGCACATTCTCGCCAACACGCGTGGCGGGGTGTGGCGGGCGCTCATGCCGCCTAATCTCTCCTGCTCGGGGGGGGACTTCTTCCGTGAAAATATATGAGAGAGATAAGTAGAGAGATTGCCCGGTCGTTTTGGGCTGTTGCCGGCCGCTTAGCTGGGAGTCCAATGGCGCAGAGCCGCGCAGTCCTGCGAGCAGTCAAAGTGTGGCGCCACAGCCGTGCCACAGTTGATGATCGGTCTCGACGGGTCACATTTGCACGGAGCTTGGGCGTGGGTGCCCGTCCGCGTCTCGACGGGCAGGCACGCGCCTCGCACGGGCTCTGCGGTGCAGCCTGTGCACAGCAGTAGCTCTGCCCGGCGCAGCCCCCCGCGACCACGCATGATCTGGATCGAGTCGTACCCTCTCGCCATGGCTCGCGTACAGTACAGCTTGTCGCCGGGGTGGTAGCAGCCAAAGTTGCTTCGCGAGCACGGGATGCCAAGCGCTGTATGGGCGTCGCGCCGCGTGCTGACCACGAGGGTGCGCCCGACATTGACAAAGACACCCGAGCCGCGAGCGGGGAAGAGCCAGCAACCGTATGGGAAAAGGTCGGCGCTCGAGTTGGTCGCCTCCGGTGCAAAGCCGTAGTCGCCTCGGTGGACGCCCTCTCCGATGTCGTCGGGAAAGCCGCGGGAAGCTCCCTCGGCAAACGGTGTGCCATCGGGATAGCGGAGGCCGAGGCAGTCGGCCGCCACTCGCGTCACTTCGACCCAGCTGTGGTTGCGGCGCGCGGCGCGCGATGGGTGCATCAACATCCCCAGAACCTGCCTGCCGACATTCTCTGGTGATGCCGTGGCGCTAAAGGATGTGACGAGAGCGGTGAGTGCCACCGCCGGATCGCCATTGCCGCTGCACAATGCCTGCTGCGCCGATGCCGGGAGGCACGGTCTGCCCGCCGGGTCCACCCCATCCTCAGTGGGCGGGAAGCAAGTGAAGGGAGGCGGCCGCTCGAGCTTGTCCGTGGCAAGCGGCCAGTATAGCATCTCGAGTCGCTGGAAGAAGGAGGGGTCGGACCCCACGCCGGCTCCTCTCCCGCCCCCGTACACCTCGGCGAAGTATTCGGACCACCCGTCCCCGCTCTTCTGAAGCACGCCCGAGGCGTCCTCCTGCCCTCGGGGGCGACCTGTCTGACGGCTCTCAGCTTGCTCGCTTCTGGTCGCACACTCTAGGCGCTTGGCCATATTGCGCGAGCACCAGCTCAGCTCCTCAGCCGCGCCAGCTTGGCCAGCTGCCTCGCAAGCACGCCGCGCCCCAGTCAGGCCTGCGAGTGCGATGCTTGTTCTGCGTGCCATCTGATCAAGGCGCACCGCCGGATCGCTACTACTGTTGCTGCCTCGACGGTGATGTGCAAGGTTGTACTGCGCACCCCGCGCCTCGCGGCACCAGTCGTCGATGGCGCCGTAGAGGCGCTGCGGTTTGCAGCAGCCAGAGTTAAAATGGTAGATGAAGCTTGGCTTCGGCGCGAGCCCAGACCTAGGCGCTCTCTGGTGCCAGAAGAGCCAAGTCAGGATGCCCTGGTCGGTCTCGGCGCCAAAAAAGGTCCAGGGGGATTGCAAGGCGTCGTTGCTGAGAGCGACGCTGCTGTGGCGACCAAAATTGTGGCGACCAAAATCGCGGCGCGGCGGCGGTGTCGCGCCGAGCTGCATGGTGCGGTTCACAAAGCTGAGCGATGCATTACCAGACCCGCCCCAGCCCTCAGCTGCCCCGCGAAAGCCATAGATGAGGCCGCCCATCAGCTGAAGGTAGACCTCGAGGCTCGGCCTGAGCACGAAGAACCCGCCTTGAGTGCATACATAGCCGCGAGGCGTCTTGCACATTGGCTCGTGGAAAAACACATTCTCTAGGCCAGAGGCAAGAAACTCGGAGACGGCCAGCTCGAACTTTCGGAAATGGCTAGCGTCCGGCTTGATGTAGACGTCGGTGTCGAAGAATACCGCCACGTCGTACTCGGCGAACCTCCAAGGCTCCACCAGGTAGAGCTCGGCGACGATGGCGGCGTCATTGAACTCCACGCTGGCGTCATTGAACTCCACGCTGGGGTTAGGACCAGAGCTGTTGCAAACGCTCTTGGGGATGGCATGTGTGCGGATGCTCGCCGACCCAGAAGTTGTCTGGGAGAGGCACAGGGCTTGCCGCTGCCCCCTGCCAACTCTATGCGTCCGCGCGCCCACGGCGTGCAGCGCTGCAATTTCATCGTCACTCTGCGTGTCGTCGTGGATCACAACAATCTCAAAGTGGTGACTCGGCGACTGCAACGACAAGTTGCGATGGAGGGCGACCCACGCCAGCGCCGCGCCGCACGAATAGCCCCGCCGGCTCTCTTCTTCTACGCCCGGTCTTGATCTCGTGAGCACCGAGTAGCTGATCATCAACGCCACGGCTGGCATTGTGCGATTCGGAGGAGTGGGCGCCATGGCGGCCGCGACTGTCTGCGAAACTGCCGTGCGCTCCGAACCTCCGCAGAGGATGTTATCGGACACGCAGCTGCTCATGGCTCGTGCAACCTCGTCCCAACCAGTCCAGCGCCTGCCTTGCAGTGTCTGTTCTGCGCTGTCGGCAATGCAGAAGTCGAGGGCTGAGTGGGATCTGCAGCGGCTCGCAGATGGGACTCCCAGTGACAAAAGTGACGCCATGCAGCTTTGCACAGCCTTGCGTGGAGATGCGTACTCGAGGCCCCGGCGCGCATTACCAGACGCGCGCACTTGCGCGCCCGCCGAAAAAGAGAAAAAATCGCGCAATCACGCGCCCGATCTGCGATCTTGCGCGGTATCCTCGGACCGGACCGCGGCGATAATTCTTTTCCAACCGCATATGA